AACTCCCCGATTCAACAAACTATGTAAAGTGTTATACAGAGAAGTTATTCTGCAGGAGTTCAAGCAGTTTGACGTTAAGCATTCTAAATAGGGTTGTAAATAAACTGACCAAAGTAGATTTGTTCATTCAAGCCATCACATTTTAATTATAGATTAAAATATACTTAATGATCAGTAGACGATACTTACTACCTACACCTGTTACTTCTCATGAAGGAGCATAGGCCGCTCACAAGCATTCTCCATCCAACCCTGTCCTAATCAATCCTTTTCAGTTCTTTCTAATTGCTATTCATCCTTTTCATATCTACTATCATTTCTCGACGAAGTGTGTTCTTCGAGCTTCCTCTTTCACGTTTCCCTTCCGGATTCCAAGTTAGGGATTGCCTCGTGATGCAGTTTGGTGATTTCCTTAATGTATGTCCGATCCACTTCCAACGTCTTTTCCTAATTTCCTCTTCAGCTGGAAGCTGGTTTGTTTTTCCCCACAGTAGGTTGTTGTTGATGGTATCCGGTCAATGGATGTTGAGTATCTTGCGTAGACAACTATTATAAATACTTGCACCCTTTTGATGATGGTTGTAGTAGTCCTGCAAGTTTCAGCCCTGTACAGTAGAACTGTCTTGACGTTCGTATTGGAGATTTTGACTTTGATATTGGTTGAAAGTTGTTTTGAGTCCCATATGTTTTTCAATGATAGGAATGCTGTTCTTGCTTCGCCAATCCTCTCTTTTATGTCTGCATCTGATCCTCCTTGTTCATCAATGATGCTTCCCAACTATGTGAAGAATTCTACATCTTCCAGAGTTTCACCATTAAGTGTGATTGGATTGGTGTTCTCCATGTCGTATTTGAGGATCTTGGTTTTTCCTTTGTGTATGTTGAGGCCTACCGATGCAGAGGCTGCTTAGTAGACGATACCTAACCATTTAACTTTTAGTCTGTAGATAAAACTATGAAATTTTGTTGTTTTTTGTTAACAAATCACCTGTACCCATATTTATAATATAGAATTATATTTAGTACAATATCTTTTGTGAATTTTCAGTCACTGAGTACAAGTTTACCAGTCAATAATTTATTGCCTAATCGTGTTCAAGTTTCTACAAGTCCTTTCTCACATTCGATTGTCAAGTCACCAAATACATCACAAACCAAGTCACAACTTGCATCAAATCCAACGCCGCTACTGCCACCTCCACCACCACCAACATCAACTGATCAGCTACAGGAGCAACAACAAATACCTAAAACTTGTAATGCACCACCTGTGATTAATTCATTGAAACCACGAAATCAAACTGCGATATCACAAATAGCTCAAATGTTACAAGAAAAGGTATTGTTTCTTATCGTAGTCGACAAATGCCATCTGGAGCAAAACATTTGTATCCAGGATCACATCCTTTGTTAATTTCATCAGCTCCTTCATCATCAGAACGTTTAAAATCATTTACACAAATGAATAATATTCATGACAATAACAATAATAATACTAGAAATTGTACTGATAATAATAATCTTAATGTTAATACGAAAATTCAAGATGAGACAACCAATAACACAAACAATGAGAAAAGAAAAGAAGAGGAAGAAGGAGAACAAACTTTGGTTAAAACTACAAAGTATCACTCACCTTTATTGGTTGAAGTAAGCTAATTTTTTGATACACAAAATTTTATTTTATATTTACCTATTAGCTAGGCAAAGTAAACTCCATGATGTATGCATAGATTACGTCTAAAGTTAATTTAGGTTATAAAATATTTTGTGGGATATTTTTTAAAGTATGTGGTCAGTATCTTTTTTCTGGTTAGCGCTTTTTAGCGAGTTGTTTTTCTACGGGATTGGGTCGTTAACCCCATACCTCCTCCTCCTTTATCCGGGTTTGGTACCGGCAGCAGCTCCAGAGGGGCTTCAGACCTTCACATCTACATCAGATGTGAAGGCGCGTATCAGCAAAGCAAGAGCAGCATATCTACAACCGAAATACATCCGGATCTCAAAAAAACTGTCAACCAACAGCGAGGCCAGAATTTTCAATACATATGTCAAAACAGTTCTACTGTATGGTGCGGAAACTTGGACAAATACGAAAGCCATCATCCAGAAGATACAAGTGTTCAATAACAGCTGTCTACATAAAATAATTTGGATCCGTTGGCCGGACACTATTAGCAAGAACCTACTGTGGGAGAAAACAAACTAGATCCCAGCGAAGGAAGAAGTCAGGAAGAAGCGCTGGAAGTGGATAGGATAGGCACCCAACTGCATCACATGGCAAAAATTCACTTGGAATCCTCAAACCCAAAGGAGGAGAGGAAAACCAAAGGGCACATTACATCGAGAACTGGAGACAGACATTAGAAAAATGAAAGAAAATTAGACAGAACTAGAAAGAAAGACCCAGGACAGAATGGGATGGAGAATGCTTGTCGGTGGCTTATGCTCCGAATGGGGGGGGTAACAAGTGTAAGTAAGTAAGTATATAGTTAGAATGAAAGTAGAATGTAATGGTAAACTAGCTATGATGATTTAACGTACATAAGTGGTTCACTTTCAAACCATTTTTTGCATAAATACCCAATTATTTAACGATACAAATATAGTATTATGTTATAAATGCATACCAGTATACTAACGAAACTCTTAACAAGACATTAGAAACTTTGACTTGTAACTTTGTAAACAATTTAGAATTGAATTTAGAGGTACAACATTTTCTAGACTACAGGTAAATGAATAAGAAAAAAATTGAGTGTTTCAATTAATCAGTTGTAAAACGATCAAAAACTGATAGAACTACAAATAATTGTCGGAATGAACAACGGTAAGCTGAATTTACTAAGGAAGATTTTGAAGTGAACAAGAACACCAGTAGGGACAATCGAATGTATTTAACACAAAGTTACAGAACTTGTTAATAAAAGTAAATGCTTAATTTGCAAAATGTCCACCAATTGTCTCAAAATGACTCACACTTCATTGTTCTTTCATTTTCATGCAAATCGCATCCTGTTCCCATTCTTTGCTGTTCGGTCCTCTTGTCTTTCTGCTGCCAGACATTCTGTCCACGACTAACATCAAATAACAATTGTCAGTATAAGTAGCACATACCACAATTTGATTTATACACTTAGTATCTTCATTGTTATAACGATTGATTTTCTTCTTCTACATGTATGGGACGTTAATTTGCCTTAGATAAATATCTACACTAGATACCCTCTCAGTGTCTATCTTACAGGAATTCAACACAACTCAGATCAAGAACACGTGATTAGCCTGACTAGAACGTAGATTTATTTCCACACCAAACATCGACAATAATTCAACACAATCTAATAACAATCAACAAACAATAATAATGAAGATAGGAGAATACATAACTCACCCAACTCCTGTCAAACTATCTACAAGTCTGACAAAGCAAACAATCATTCATTATCGTTCTCGTCCGCACATCATTATTCAATACTATTATTAATACCAATCCAAATACATCTTATATTATGTTACTTAGGTATGACAATTACCTACATATAATCCATAAAACTAACTATCATTTATCTCACCGTCAAAAACGTTGTCTTTGTAGATATTTATTCGCTGTTATTTTCCTAATTTAGACGTGGGGTAAATCATATAAATTACTTTCATTATTCTTAATTATTGTAATTTATTTCTTTTTGTTAATAACCAACAGACAGTATTGAGCAAACTGCTTCCAGAATTGAACCGATCTCCAAGTAGGTCTTCAGATTTAAATAATTCGAATAAAACATCAAATAATAAACATACATTGAATCCACGAATGAATAATTCGAAGAGACTAGATACTGACAAAAATCATTCAATAGAAACTTCATATTCAACCGACAATAAAATGATACTGTAATGAATACTACTAATAATAATATCAGTAATGGATTGAATTATTTAAAACATTTAAATGAATCAAATATGCATAATGGTATTGAAACCGATCATGGAGATCAATCAACAGATGTCAAGTCAATAACAATAGTGAAAAATGCCAAATTGTTTCGTAATAATAGCTCTGCTACAAGCAAAAATAATATTGATTATAATAGTCATTTAAGAAGAGCGTACACTGTAATAAAACCTCCAGAAAAGCTAATCACATCGAAAGCTTATATAAGTTTATCTTCTTCTGGGAAATCATCAAACAATAATCAAGTTTCAAAAACAATGACTGAAGAACCGACGACAAACATAAGATATGATCAACAATCTCCAAGATCTGAATCAAATTATCAATATTCATTAATGGATTCTACTGGAGAAAGTAATCATAGTAAATTGATTACAACAAATGATTGGTTAATAGTTGAACATGAACAATTGGGCAATGAATCAACTGGTGAACTTCATTTAACTGTAAATTGTGTCAATCTTTTAATGTACATGCTTTCTTCTATTTTATGCAATTAAGGTTTATTATTGAAGAATTATCTTGACCATTTCTATTAAAAGTAGATACATCTTTGGTTTGGTCAACTTGCATATTGCATTAAACATTATTAGATTTTATTTTAGTGAAAGTTATAGTTTAAGAAGACATTAAATGTTTTTAGAATACTCTAGCCTTTACTAGTTAAAGTGATTTGTGTTATTGCTTCTGAAAAGAATAAACCAAGACATTTACACACTTATGTTTACTAGCTAAGTGACCTTATGTTCACTTGGTATTGTTTATTTGAATCTTTTCATCGATGCGTAGGGTTGCATTTGATCAATCTTTTATTGGCATGTGTGCATACTGTGTGTGTTGTATCAATATTGCCTTAAGTCACAAACATTATAAGTAAAGATGGATGGTGGCTAACAGTGAAATCCAGGACGCTCGTTTCGTCCTATTCGGGACTCGTCAGCTGGATGTACCTTTTGATTGAGATCATGAACCGATTGATGTACCCTATTTATGAATAATCATGTTCTCATTGTTTTAAGAATGTAAAATTACTTGCACAAGTGCATTTAGAATTATTGTTACTTGAATTGTTAGTAAAAAATGTGTAATAATGGCATAACGAAGTACACACGTGTTTGAACAGTTAAATTAGATCATGTAATGAAATAATATACCTAATGGCCATTGTAATTCAAATATATATGTATTAAAAATGAAATCTGGAAGGAGTTGGAAAATTCGGAATGGTTGAAACTAGTATAGTAATTTGTTAGATCTTCTCAAGCCAAGAAAGTAGAATAAAGATGTTACAATGTTACTTTTGAATACTAAGACTGAGATCCTTTTATCGATTAATGTATAAAATAGACGAAGTAAAAGAGTGTATTAACGTCTGACAAAGAACCTTCATCTGAACAACTAACTAGCAGATGTAAACATATGAGAATCCTTTTCAATTTCTTAGTAATCTACCAATAATAACATGATTACATTTCCTCTTCATAGCTGAAGATATCAGGTTCGATATGAGATCAAACGTACGTGTTGAATAAAGGTGCATACTCAAGCTTATCGTTTGATATGGGTCAAAACAAGATTATTTGATTTCTAAGTTATATATTTTAAAGTCTCATTACCAACCTCGTTTTATGTCTATCTTACCTTCACATTGTTATTATGAATCAGTTTTGATTACACAAAAGGTTTCCATCGTATAAAATGATACACTATTATCTATTACCCTCATGTTTTTCTTTACAGGTTGGTGATATCCTTAAGTGTATTGATTCAAGTCCCCAAGTTTGTGACAGACGTAGTGATTCTCATCTTCAGTATTCAATATCTTCATCATCATCAAGTAGAAAATGGATAAAATGTGAAAACTGGTTTGGTGTTATCGGTTTAGTAAACATTTCCAGTGTTCGAGTTATTGATAACTCAAATGAACTGGCTTATTATTTGGAAGCTAGACCACGTGTCAAAGCTTTATATACATTTGATAAAGAAACTGATGAAGATTTAGCTTTGTCGGTAATCAGAATTTGCATTTCACTTATTCAGTTACTGACTTATAACTTTGTATACTATTTATTTGATAGGATGGTGATACCTAGTCGATCCTACAGATAAATTTATGTTGAAATAGTAGCTATTGACTGCTCGTGGGTTGAGCATTACTTTAAGTTGAAACAAACTGAATGAGTTTGAATATGTGACTAATTGATTAGCCAATGAATAATTGCTCAGAAATAGTACTAAAAAGTTGATAGACAAGGACGGTGAACGATTTCGAAGCTGCCATTTGTAAAGCCTTCTAAAAGGATCGTAGATAACATCATTAGGAACTTTTCAGTGCGTTACTAATTTAGTTAAATAACACTATAGGAGTAATCATCTCACAAAACACTGATATAAATCACCTAGTTAATATGTGATTACTTTCATATTCACTACATAAAAGAAGAGCAGATTCGTTCTTTTGGATAACCCGTCGACTAATTATCGTGTCAAAGACCGGTGGTGATTCATATAATTTGATGCAAGAACAACTGTTGTATGATGACAAATAAAAAAGTAGTATGTTGAATGCATTTCGTTCGAACCATTTGTAATTGGCATATAGGCGAATTTCACTTTTAAATATAAGGACTTATACCTAAGTTAATTCGAATCACTACCGTGGTTATTAGGAATTTGGGCTAGATTTCAAAATAAACCTTGTACATTTTTGAGTACGACGTATGTAATAACTGCTAAGTATTAGACTAAGAACGAAATGAGTAGATCACTATGTCTGATCATAACAAATGACACCATCCTACTTTAGGACAGTTCAGAAGGTTTCCAGTTTCAGATTAACAACCAAACATAGAAACTATGGTAACGTTTAGGGCTAAAGTAATGAGGAACGTCTGGACCATGATTATCGTGATTTATTATTTTATAGTAGTCAGTATGTATTTTTTATCAGCTATGAATTGATTTATAACTATATGTTCACTAGAACCTAATTTCCACTTTAAATCTATCATTGATGAACGTCAAATATCACCAGTAGAATTGAATGGTTGTTGTTCGGTTCAATAAACTAACCTGAGTTTTAAATTTGAACCACTGATTCTTTTGGACACTCAAAGATTCTAAATTTACTCAATGTTATTTTGTGGACGAACTATGGAATGCTCTACAGAATGCAAAGCGTTTGTGTCTCAGCATGCGATTATTTATCAGTATCAACAGAATTATTATTTTAAGCTAATTTATCATGACATATTGAATAGAAACGAAATGAGAAGTAAACTGATGAAATATTCTATAACTAATCATCTTAGTATTGACAGATTGAGATCATGTTAAGTTCCTTTTAATTAATATCACTTCACTATGTTTTTTAATTCTTTTTTTAGCCTGGTGAAATAGTGTATTTATTTGAAGCCATTGATGAAAACTGGTATCGTGGTGAATCGGCTACTACTGGCGATCGTGGGATGTTTCCGGCCACATTTGTTGAAGTTATCAAACCTCTGTAAAGATTCATAAGACTAACTATGATCTAAATTCCATGTAATTATACTTAATCTATTACCTTTAGAACATACTTTACAAATAAACATGATGTAAACACTACTAAAACCATATCATTTATATTTGCTTATAATTTAATTTGATATTCACTTCAATACAGACTGAGAATAAATGGAATCAATCTTTTTTGTTTATTATCCAAGTATAGGTGACTGAAGCTTTTCTCTACTATCCAATAAATACGTAGCCCTAAATCTTATTGGATAAAATGTAGGGCATTATTAATTTCATCCCATATGTTTAAGGGTCATAAAACACAAAAAGGATTGTAGAAAATAGAATCTTTGTTCTTGCTCTTTTCAAAATGATAGAGGGAGCTATGTGTACGAAATTTCTCGGAAAAAAAGTCTCCCTGCACAATTATTCAGGTCACTGAATCACTTCGTAACGGTACGCTGCAGAATATCATGAGAAGTGACAAGAGTCAAGTTTTATGGAGAATGTCTCATGTCAGGCTGTTTCCCATGTCAACTTGTAAAATCTTTGCGTTCACGTAAACTTTGCTAGAATCTTTGTTCTTACTCTTTTGAAAATGATAAAGGGAACTATATGTATGAATATAGAATTTATTCATTCCTTAAAAGACAATGACAACAAAATCTAATTAACACGCTCACTTCTTTAGCACAAATAAATATATTTAACACGTTTTAGATATCGCACTCAGTTTTCATTCATGACTACATTCTGGTTAGCGTTTTCTTCAGTAAGGTTATTTTCTACGGGATGGAGATATTGATCCCACGCCCAACCTTCCTTTGCCCGGGCTTGAGACCAGTAGTAGCCGTAGTAGAGATACATTCACTACAAAGTTTCTTTACAATATCCCATTAAATAATTATGAAACTGCTAATAATATTCACCTTCAAAACGGTTGATTCCAAGAGCTCATAATGAACAGAATCGTTCGGTTAACTTCGCTTAAAATAACTACATCAACATGTCGAGATTGGTAGATCGTCTTGAAGTGATATCCATATGTAAACATGTATATATTAATACAGTTTCTGTAAATACAAGCAACTTCTTTCAGAGTCGTTTATAAAAGTGCCATTATGCATGATGTACAGTAAATTTTCATTTCAAGTTGCTCTAACGAGTTTACTGTTAGGGAGAATCAAGTTTTGTACTATTATGCAATTACCAAATGCTAACAACTCCTCAATAATGAATTTTAACCTATTCTTTTTTCTTTAGTTTGCTTTAAAATCAAAGTTATTTGTCCGACTGCCGTAAAATCATTTTACTTGTAGTAACGTTTCTACAGATGTCTTGACTTATTATGATATTTAACTGGTGTAAATAAGTACTTAGGTTTACTAAAACCCGTGCGCTTCAGCAAGTGCACGGGGACCTTGAAAAGAGTTGATAATCTGATAGAACGTGCCATTGTTCTCCATCAGACTGTTACTTATGAAGAAGGTATCACAGTCTGAGAATCTTATCAGGGAGTGTAGGAGGTCCGAATCAGCCTGTTTATTATCTCTGTATTGATTGGATATTTTTGCATGGGATGATTATAAGAAGGACAGATAGGGAGAGGACCAACTAATCATCGGAGAATGAACGAGGTACTATGGCTCATTGGCAAACGTACTTCATTGTGACCAATCTCAATTACTTCTGAAAGTAATAAATAGCATATAAAGTTTTCAAAAAACAGGTAAATCATTAGCTTAATTTATCTTTATTTGTACTTGTTTATTTCAAACTATATACATTGCATATAACTTGTGGCATGTGTACAAACTAACAATTCCGTAATCCTTGATTGCCGGCTGACTACAAATTACAAATATAATACATTCATTTGTGGTCATCTAGTTCTATCTACCTCAAATTGCACTATTTCACAAATTCTTAATTAGTACATTAATTAGAATACTTCTAAATATCATATAATTGCATATCCTAGTGATTTAATATATAACATTGTATTACAGCTAATGACGAGTATTTGTCTACAACTCATTCCTAGTTCATAGTTATTCCATTCAGTGAAAGCAGACGATGAAGCACAATCAACAGGGAGCCTGGGATTTATGTGATTTGGCACAAGTTGCTATCCCACTATATCAAGATGATATGATGACAGGTGAAAAAGAGATCTAATGAATTTAATAAAAATAATGACGAAAAACAATGAACATTTTGGAATAGGACTTGAGAATACAGAATGGAAAGCTATATGAGAAGGAATGGTGTAATTCACAATTGAGAGTTGACGAGCTAACACACCTGTTCCTACGTAAATGAATCTAAATCACATAACTCAAAATTTCCATTTCCTGATTGCGTCTATCACACAAACCCTTTTCAAATTACGTTTCATGATATTTTACCCAGGTCTTTAATCTTAACACATGCTTAAGATGAGCTCAATCAACTCAATGCAAATGAACGATAAAAAGTAGTAAGTGAATGATGAACAAGATTATTATTTTATTCATACTACCAACAGGATCAAGCGAATAAAAAAAAACAACCAGTTACAAATGAAATAAAGCACTTTCATCCAATTTAATGTTTCGTTTTAATGTATTTTCATTATAATTAAAGCTCTTCATGTTGTTTTAGCGCATTTCCGTAATTTGTGGCCTGGCTACTGACAAAAGTATCTCGTTTAGCGATAATTTCTGCTTCTGTTAATAATCCATCCTGATAGGTGAAAAAAAGTAAAGAAGATCAAGGTCATATTAATCATAGTTCTGTCATATCCTTGTTATTTTCATTATCTTATTGTTATGCTTTACATAATCTGATCGAGAAAAATATTTAGTTACTCAATTGATAGGAATTAAGTTGAATCAATACTAACCAATAGAGTGAGAGGAAAAATATTTGGAGAGTAAAATGAATTCATTATATTTCAAGGTTTCTCATCAGCTGCAAACGGTCAAAATTTGCTACTAGGGGCTAATTTTGATTGATATCTTGAACAAATGAAACTTAAACAAGAAGTTGAAGATTTAACACTCTATAGAAGGTGCGTTGACGAAACATTTGTTATTTGTAATGATATGAATCGTACCTCACAGTTGCTTTACCAGTCCAGTGAAGCATAGATTAACATGGAATTTACGATGGAATATAAACATAACAATCACTTTTACTATTTGGACCTAAAAGTAAACCGAATGAACAATCGAACAATCAAGAAGACCATATTTAGAAAAAAACATGGGGAGGGAAATACTTAAATTATAATAGTTTATGTCTTTTTAGTTATAAATGTTGTTTGATCAAAATCACATTCAATGCGGCCAGAAGATTGTGCTCAACCGGCAAAATACTAGCAAAAATAGTATACACTGAAGAATGATTTATAGAAAATGGATATCCAAAAACGTTTATAATGAAGTACGGGAAAAACAATCAAAAAAAGTCTTGGACAAACAACTGTTACCAGAAAACCTGTCTTTATCCTGCTCGAATTCAAAAGTGAAGAGATTTCAAGAAGGATTGACTAAAGGATCAAAGCAGAGCCAAAGAGATGCTTACCTTTAACATAACTATTTTTAATTTATAACACCAGATATCCCTTAAATCAATCAAAACTAGATCAAAGCTCTATTGAGGTCATCATCAAATGTATTTAAGAATTTACATTTACTTTTAGAAATAAGTATATAGGAAAGAGTGAGACAAGGGTACCAACAAGGTTTTCAGAACATATTTCTCGTAAGTTGTGCCTGAAAGTAAGTGAAATTTTCACAAGTGGGATTACTAAACGTTTACTGGATAGTAGACACAACATAAATGTTTCAAAAGCTTTCAGAATAATTGACGGGGAACGTATACCATTTTTACTCCGTTTTACAAAGACCATTGCTATCAAGAGCCTTCGACATACCCTTTGCATGAAGAATGAAAGTGTGGTACACCTATCATTGCCATGAATCTAGTTATAGTTCTATTTTAACGCATGTCAGTTACATAATCTCTTCATTATGGTTTACAACTTAGCTTAAAAAGTCCCCAAGAAATTCACTTGTAGTGACTCACATTTATCACGAGAACACGACTGGTTTAATAAAAACAATTATTATTATAACCAACTGTACCAGTGCTTGTTTTAATGTGCTTTTGTTTGACTGTGCTAATGACAGCTATATTGTGCTTCCATTCTTATACTTACACTTTGATTGTGACTTCGCGCGAATTCTGTAACCAAGCTTGTATCCTGGCACGATCTCGGTATCCTTTCGATACCACGAGATCGCCAGCGAATATATCTCGATTTGGTCCATTAATTGCCTTCTGATATTTGGTTTCTCGGGGATTTTATGGATTTATTTGGTTACGTTCAACCTTCGCCTTCTGATTTATTTGGCACGCGATCCTTTTTAGCGGTGTTCATAGTTAATCTCGACTCGACACCACGCTACACACTCATAACATTAACTTTGATGCCATGTTACATAGATGCTCTGATTATCACCCATTTGTTAATAAATTGTTTTTAATTACCATCTCTTTATTACCACTTACAAATTTACCTCCTTCTCCCCTTTTTATGATTTCATTTCTCAACATATAAATACTAGTCAGTCCTAACCATTAAGTTATGTATGTTGTTTCCTCGTGTTTCTGAAGTCGTTTCGAACTAAAGTTAGTCAATTATGGTATGTAATGGTATTTTTTATAGTAATATTTCTAATGCAAATTTATTCTGTTTGTAACTGATGAGAAGCGTTAAAATACAATGAATTCATTTTATTCTAGAAATAGTGTTCTTCTAGCTTTATTTACATTTATCAAGGCATCGTGGTTTGTGAAAGTTATAAATAGATTGATATCGACCGAAAAAATCACAGAAATCCAGGTGTTGTGGATATTACTCACAAGCTTGTAAGTTGTGTGTAACCGAACGTGACATCAAAGTTGCTATGGTTGCCAGAAGAGATGAAAATTTTCACTGTGTCGAAAGTACGGCATGAGCGTAACACATGAAAACCAGACTAGAACATAGTTGAAACTTCAGAACACACCAAAAGATGCAAATAGACAATTGAGAGCTATGTATATGTATTATGTAAATACTTTGTAACCTAGTAAACATCATACATCACTCCTGCCTATTGTCATCTTTTACACAGGTAGCACTGGAAAATTAATTATCTTCGACAATGACGCCGATAGAAAGTCAAACCGAGGCATTCCTCATTTTTGTTCAGTAACATTACATTGAGATCACTAGTTGAAAAGTTAATTTAAATACTTCAATCTTCAAAATTCCCCACACTGATAATAATCATATGCTCACTATTGACTAGATTCTGGATGGACCTTTTTGTTTTAGTCAGCTACTGAATATCGAATTATAAGATGAACTAGATAGTGTGATAGAGCAAGTATAGTATTTTCCGTAAGTATTGTCATTTCATTCTGTTTTTGTGTGGGCTGTGATACTGCCCGGGTGCTCAGACCGAAGCAGGTGGTTTTCTTAGGGGGTCACTCCCCGAGCCTTTGACCTCACGGTCTAACCCACAAGGCAGTGGGGCATTGTGTGGAGATGCAATCCCATGGTAGCCGGTGACCAACGATAGGTTCATACGCCATTTGTTCGCGAAGGATACTGGAGCCCATGTGTACCATTGGTTTGGTATCCGGTTAAAGCCCGGACACTCGCTTTTCGTTCTCTCATTTTCGTAAACAACACCCCTGCCACGAGAATGAATTGAGTGGGACTTCCCTGGCAGAGGCTGTATACGCATGGCCGTGTGAGAGCACTTCGAGTGGGAGGGCGGGCCCACCCCACTCTCGGCCATACCAGGGCATTTGGGGGTTAGAAGTTAAAAGTTTCATTAATATTTTAAAAGCTAAATAGTTTTGCTATTATTATAGAGCACGGTATAACCATCTACGAGCCCAAATAAAATGTCTTATTTTTTCTATCTTCCACTGTGTTTAAGTTAAATGACTATTCAAATTAACATAGAACAGAATCATAACTGCAATTAATCATCCGATCGTTCTGATTTTCAAACTACACTTACACATGTAGAGTAAATGGTGACTTTAAAAAAAACTTGATTTACTTACCTTATTAGTATCAGCATGATAAAATAAATGTTTTGTTTCTGCATCTATTGGATCATAATTTGATGGCATTATCCATTCACCAACTTCTGCTCTATCCATTCTACCATCTTGATTTGTATCTCTGAATCGACGAAATTGACTTCTTTCACGTTCAACCCATTCTGCTTCAGGTTCATTTTCATCAAATGGTGTACTTTGATAAGCACGAGCTAAATCAACTTTTGAAAACATAAAATAAATGTCAGAATAAAGATAGAAATCTAATCTCAACATTTGTTTTCACATAGAGTTTGATTAGTAGTATAATGATTCTCTTTATTTTGAGATTAATACTGCATTGTAAGAATGCAAAAAATAGCAAGAACGACTTTTTACATAACTGTTCTGAATCCAAAATTTACTTGGTGTTTTTAAATGAAAAAGAGTACAAGACTGAAACCCAAAACTGAGTAGAAACAGCGATAACTGATATTTATTCACATCAGATAAAATTATTAGCCGATTCATTTTCTTCAGTTTATATCCTGAGAATATGATCTGTAATACCTTAGGAATTCATTCAATGCTGATAGTTCTTAGTATATTGAGTAGATATTTTCTGATACCACTACACCTTATAGTTGATAGTACAAACTAAATTATTCATTCGTAACTGCATTCGAAATCGGTGTTGAATATGATTCCAAGTTTTTATGAAACACAATGGAATATTTCTCTCTTAATTCAAATAAAATGTGGAGAAAACAATAAGAATATAATGAATAATGTTTAAGTGTTATACATTTGTAGAAACTATGTGTGAGCAATGTTGGAGACAAGTTTTCAGTTTCGGTTACCAGCTTTTTGTCGTTTTCTTTTTCCCCCTAAAATAATAATGTGATAGATAAGGGTGGTGTTCAGTAAGCTGAAATAATAACCAAATATAGTAAATTTTTATTTTACCTAAATATTCTTTTTCAGATACATATCCATCATTATCCTTATCCACATATTCCAATAATTCCTATCAAAAGGTAAATAGAAGAACAAATATTAAATTTATATCCTTTAACCAATCAAAATTAAAGTAGTGCTCTTGAATTATTATGTTAGGGAAATTCAATATTTACCCAACCTTGATATTCAGTTTACGAATAGCTTTGTATGAAGTGTTCACATTTAATGCCTAAATTTTATAGGATTGATAGAAAACAAACCACCCAAATTCAGTAATACTCATTAAATGTTATCTTATAGTTTTTGATGGAGTTTTGTTCTCTGAGTTGGATGGTTTGGTTCAGCTTTACACCTTCAAAGTGCAAAGTACTTCTACAAGACTGGCAGGATTCTAATCCTGTACTCACCTTGGATGGTGAGCAGATAGAAGTAGTCGAGAAGTTCGTGTATCTGGGTAGCTGCATAAGTGCTGGTGGGGGTGTGAGTGATGAGATCAATGCACGCATCGTGAAAGCCAGAGCGGCTTATGCCAATCTGAGCCACCTTTGGCGCCTTTGTGATGTTAGTCTGGCTGTGAAAGGCCGAACCATCAACGCGTCGGTGAGAGCAGTTTTGCTCTATGCTTGTGAAACCTGGCCTCTCCGAGTTGAGGACGTTAGACGACTCTCTGTGTTCGATCATCGCTGTCTCCGAAGGATTGCTAACATCCAGTGGCAACACCATGTCAGTAATGCAGAGGTTCGGCATCGTGTGTTCGGGCGCAGAGTCAATAGTCTGATTGGTGTCACCATCTTGAAACACCGATTTCGGTGGCTTGGACATTTTCTACGAATGTCGTCCCAGAGAATTCCACGTCATGCATTATTTGCCGACTCTGGGACTGGTTGGAAGAAGCGGAGAGGTGGTCAGTATATGACATGGTGTCGTGATATGAAAGAAAACTGAGAAGGACTGGCTTCTGTTGGTCCTTCACGACCCCCTGGTTGGGGTCCGAGAGATGATGCTACACAGTGGTTAGAGGCGTTATCAAATATGGCTCAGAATAGAAGCCAGTGGCGGTCCTGCTGTAACCTTCTTTTACTTTTTTCGTAAAAAGTGGTTGTATCTTACTTAACTGAAAGATTTCTTCTGATTGTATCTTTCCATCTCCCCATTTTTACCATTATCATTATTACACCACCGTACATCAATCTCTTCGTTATTATTCTCTCTTTTTTTCCTCCCCCTTAAATTCCCATTGTTTTGTGTGGCGCATATATATTTGGCGCACTCTTGTACCAATATTTATTTGTCCAAATAAATAAATAAACAAATATATCCTATCAGTAGGTCGAAATATGTCTACAATTTTATAATCATTCTCGCTATTATACAAAACCGTTCTCATATCACAGTCTCATCATCAAGGAATTCCCATAGATTCCACCCTTCCAGCGTTTATATAATTTGAGAAATATACTCAAGTATGAAAGAATTTACAATTCCCCTAAAACTGAGGATAAACGATATAGGGTCAAAACCCACTTTATATGGCAAAATCCTTTCACTTTAAGTTAGTTCAGTTTTCAAAAAACAAATATGCATAAGGGTTTGATTAAGTTGGTGACTAACTGAATTTAACCCATCAGTGGCCATTTGAAACTAAGAATATTGAGTTCAGGTTTCAAGTTCAATAATAAGGTACAAGGATATAAAACGGAAGAATCATAAATTAGGTGAGTCAAGAGTTCTGGACCCTACTGTTAGCCAAGAAACACATTAACTAAAATTTCAAAATCTGTTTTTCGTACGCTACTCTTTTAGCCCTGCGAATAAACAACACTATGGACTGGTCATTTGGGAGAAGTTCACACTAACTAATAAACGTCTATATGATAGGAGATTCTAAAAGTTGCAATACATATGCACTTTGCTATACACTAACAGGTTGATGAAAATGAGCGTCAATGGAACAAACAAGTTGGGCTAAATTCATTAGAAGTAAATTATTGATCAAAACTATTCAGACAGGCTGTATATCAGTATATGAAATGCTTGAAACTGCAACCACTGTTATTAGTAAACAAAGAATGTCGCCGACATATTTACACCAATAGATCGGTGGAATTTAGCTTTTGCAGTGAAGTTCTTTAACCCATATAATTACTATTTAGATGTAAGCGTGATCATTGCTAAAGTTTCATGATAATCTATTGTTCTTTAAATATTAACACAAAGAATTTATTTATTAGTTAAAAACTGTAACACTTACATCAATAACAGCATCTCTCATATTTGGCCTGTCTTCAGGATGTACGAAATCAGTAAACTCAGTTTTATTTAAACTGTCATCTTCATCTAAATCAGCAGCAACCCATCGTCGTCGATCATGTTGTACAGCTTTTTTATATGATTCAGATGTAGCTGTATCTTTCAATCGTTCTTTAGGGATAAATAATAAATATTTAATTACTTACATAACGTTGGTTTAAAGTATTCACTGTCTTATATAGTTTTAAAAACAATTCAAAATATAAACAAAGATGGATAGTGGCCGGCAGTGGAATCCATGACGCGCGTTCTGTTGTATTCGGGATTCAGATAGGTGTCAGATGGATGTACCTGCATCTCAGATTTGATGTTCACTCTGGAGCATACGTCTCTACAGGCAGAATGTAAGCCTCATTTAAGATAATTATCTAAAACCATATTTTCCAGTTATAAAGATAAGAGCTCAGTCAATACTTACAATGATCCAGTTAAAATTCTACACAATCTCAATGTAAGTTAAGTTATACAAATTATATCCTGTGGTTAACTAATAACTAGTATAACATGATACCAAAAAATCTGAAATTAAAGAGTACGTAGACGTATACATAACAGTCAAACCAAACCATAATATTCAAAGCATATTTAGTTATCAGTATGCTAGGGAGGTTGTTGAGTCTTTGATTGAGATCATGAGTCAATGAATGATAGACCACAATTGAAAAACTGGAAGCATTAGACGACCGTTTCATCTTAGTATGGGACTCCTCAACGGTGTAAACCCACAACGCTGCACTTGGGATGCTGGCTCAGTGATTCAAAGGTTAAGCGTTCACGCTTGAAACCGAATGTCCTGGGTTTGAGTCTCGTATGCAGAATCATAGATGAGCACTATTGAGGAGTTTCATACTGGGACGAAACGGCCATTTAGTGCTTCTAGCTTTTCAGCATTCATGATCTGAATATTTATTTGTGTTTTATCGTCAATGATCAAATGATATACTTGAGTCATAAATGTTACCAACTGAAATGAACGCTGAGAAATGTGAGATATTTTATACACAGATTGTATCATATTATTTGATCAACTATTCCACTGAACAAATATAATATTGATTCTCATGTCATTTTGAATTTAACAACAGTTTAACCATATACTGATTTGATTAAATACGCGATATGAATCATATACACCTTTATCTTTTATGCCAGTTTAGTCATATTTGACTTTGGAATTATTCCAAGGGATGAAAATCATTGAAATGTATTATTGTTTCATTTGTACCTATATACATGTAGACTAATTCATTTATTGATAATAATGCTATTTCATAGGCAAAAAACAAATGGTGTACATTTTATTGGCTTATCCTAATGTATTTTATCGGTGTTTAAAACGATTAGCTTGTCAGTCTATCGATTTAAATACAGCATATAAATTTATTGTTCCTTTACTGCCTACCTAAACAGACAACCTATTCATATGTAAAAGTAACAATTGACTATCTAACCTTTCATAGAACAGTCTCTAAAAATATATGATATATTTCAAAAAGACTGTCTCCTAACTCTATTCTCCTTTATCTATCCTATTAGATTTTTAAAGGAAGTCAAGTATTAAAATGTAGTAGCTCAAGTGGATGATTTTGATGGAGTTTTGTTCTCTGAGCTGGATGGTTTGGTCGTGGAGCTTTCATCGTTCTTCTGAACGACATCATCAGCACAGACTTCAGATAGAATTCTGAAGTTTGTGCTGATGACCAAATCATCCAACTCAGAGAGCAAAACTCCATCAAAATTAAAATAGTCTTTATTTTCACTGATTTAGTTTTTGTAAAGTCATTCATTGAATTTAATCTATTCTTATCACGATGAGATCGAATCGTCATGAATGACTAAGGCAAAATTTTGGAAAACTCTAGATCACATAGTAAACCTTATAACCTTTTCCTGATTTCAATCTATAAGGTTTATGATTGTCCTCTTAGTTATAGTGAAGAAATGCTTAATTAATATCTCGTTAAAATATCTTCCAATGATCCCGCACATTAATAAACTAAGCCTTATCAGACATGTTCGCTAAGTTTATAAAATTCTGCTCAATACTGATCCAAATGATACAACATTCAATTAAAGTCTCGAAATCAGTTTCAAAATATATGAATTAGATCCTGGATACGCACTGCTGAGGAGTCCCGTACTAGGACGAAACGGCCGATCAGTGCTTCTAGGTTTTTCATATTGTAATGCAATATCAATTGAATGAGATTTCAATAGTTGAAATCATGATTCAATTGAAGCTAGACCACCGTGGGAAACGTTGAAGCACTGGAAAGCCGTTTCGTCCTAGTATATGACTCCCCCCGCAAGATTCGAACCCAGGACATATCAGCCTCGTGCGCAAGCGCTTAAGCATTAGATCATAGAGCCGACATCCAACGGTGTTAATGTATAACTTCAACCAATTCACGAGTAGTTGAGTAGTAAGTATGGCTGACAACAATTGCCTAAAGTGATAAGCTTGACTATTTTTAAACACAGACATAACAAGGTTTCCTTTTTAGAACTGGCAACAGTTTATATCAAAGAAAAATAGTCAATTCAGAACCTAATTTTTGTATACATACTCATTTATATACATAAATTTAAATAGTACTATTAGACACTGACTTCTGACGAAGCCGTGGTTGCTCATCGTCGAAAAGTCTTATGCTACGATGAAATAATTAACTAGGTTTCTTTGATCTTCAAACGTAACCAAACTCAGAACCTTCTGTGACAAATCCAACCTATATCCATATTATAACTTCATAAACTGTGATTAGATGGTGGTTGGAGGTAGTCGACAGGAAACCCTAGACCCAGGTTTCGTGCTTCTTGGCACTCATCAGCAAGGTGTACCAGTAATCTTAAGGGAACTGGACCTTACTAACGGATTTGATCCCGTGTCACAGCTTCACAGTCAATGACGTTACTACTGAGCTATCTAGGCCGCTACCAACCTCCTGTAGGACTGAGATAAACTGTTTCACTTATCAATTCACATTCAATATTACACTCAAATGAAAATTAATTTACAAACTTTTAAAGTTTACCTTCTTCTGGTCCATATGTTTTTATAAGATATTCTGTCCATTTAATTGAAGATTGATTAGTTGGATTTATATCATTCCATTGACGATCTGTACTATTTTGTTTCGATTTACTAGCTACATATTCAATCCAAGATTTTAATTCAAATTCTGTAATTTTTTCATCATTATCTTTATCAATTTTTCTAATAATAATTCTAATAAAACAAGAAATTAAAAAGTTTTTTTTATAATTTTTTGTTTAACTCATTAACTTACTTTAATTTTTCTTCACTTTCATTTGGTGTAAGTTGGGAAAATTCTTTAGCAGTCTCTTCACCTAAAAATGCATTATGATCAAATTCAATATCATGACGATCTGGATCATCAATAAAATGTTCTGTATCACGTCGACTCTATTATATTTTGATTATTGTATATAATAATAATTATAATATTTAACAACATACCACTGTTTCTAAATGTGGTTTTGTATAAGTATAATGTATAAGAATTAATAAAATTATATATCTATTGAAGGATAATACCATCATTTTCATCATCAACATAAAAGGTAAAAAACAGGGTATACAAGCAATTCAATATATGTATAAATGATTATTTATCTTAATTTAAATAAATGAAAATTTATTACAATTTGATTGGTTAATATTTTTAATGTTGGCACATAAATTTAGTGAAAAATGGAAATACACAATTATTTTGATTGGTTAAATAATAAAAAAATTCTATTGACCTTAAAAGATGATTGGAAGTTCAATTAGAATGAGATAAATGTAATGATTTTGAAATATGTTCGATTTATTCACTTTCATAGGATTATATGCATATTTCTTTATGTATTGGGAAAATAGACATTAAAAACATTAAAAATTATATTGTGATATAAAGAATATTTAGTTTGTAAGTGATCGATTAAAGTTGAAATTTCATGTAGGTCAACTTGTTGGGTTATCATTAAAGAACCAATCAGGTGTAAGATAAGAGGTTTCGGATTTTGGTGCAAAATTCACTCACCAATTCGGCTAAATAAAGTTTTGGCATTATAGCTGAAGTCAGTGGATTGCAACATGATCGATAGCATTCGATCTGCACTAATAAGGACTAGACAAGCATGACATTGATCACCACCCAGTGATCAATAAATTGTGATTTTATTTCAGTCCTACAGGGGGTCGGTCGAGGCCTGGATAGCTCAGTGGTAACGTCTCTGACTGTGAAGCTGGGTGACACGAGATCGAATCCGCCAGGGAGCACCAGTTACCTCAAGATTACAGGTACACCTTGCTGACGAGTGCTAAGTAGCACGAAAGCCGGGTCCAGGGTTTCCTGTTGACTACCTCCAACTACCATCTAAATCTCAATACATAGTGCCCGCAGTGTCGAGTCATCTAGACTGGTGGCCACATTGCAACATGATCGATAGCATTCGATCTGCACTAATAAGGACTAAACAAGCATGACATTGATCACCACCTAGTGATCAATCAATTGTGATCGGCTTAATAAAGTTTTGGTATTATAGTTGAAATCAGTTCGTGATGAAAACCTTAAATCTAATCCATAACATTAACCATCAACTGGAAGTCAAAATTCTTATTCCTCACATTGGTTTTATAACCTTCATTTGCTCTTATTTATCAGACGGGGACACTCTGAAGATCAGTCTAGTGTCGCTCAAAGGTCGTCCATAAATTATAGTTTCAATGTCAGGAATTGATGCATCTCATTGAATAATGAAATTTTAGAAAGTTTTCAGAAATAAAGTATCCAATAATTTTTGTTCGAATTAATCCTAAATATTCGACTAAAAACAATCTGCATACTCTTCATTTTTCTATAGTTTATCACTTATAAATTCTTCGTCATAATTACTTGTTGTTTTTCTGATAGATTATTACCAGTCAACTACCTACAGATTATATAACATTGATAGAAAATTGTTTTGAATCAATTCTTAATTCATTAGATTATATCACATATGGCTCTTTGTCTATGAATAGTTATGATATCACAGTGTGATAGTTTTCAAATACATGTCACAAGAAGTAACGTCACTAAATCTGCAGTATTATATATGCTGTTGTTATCGTATAAGCTTATGTGTGTTCATCGGCAATGTTTGATTATTGTGTCTCAAGTTAATGTATCATTGTATCATTTTGATCAATATTCATAGTTTCGAAATAAGATTTGAATTGAACTGAGTAATTGTATAGAAACATACCAGTCTTATGAGTAATAGTTATGACTCAACAAAGGCTGTTACGAGAACTTATTTCATTGTAGTGATCATCTTTTAATGTATACTTTGAATATGTAACATAATGAACAGAATTTTAAACATTTATCTGTGAATTACTATTACTTATTAATACCAGCTTTGATGTGCTGTGTATACTTTGAGAATTTGAGCACTAGTAAAACGAATATGGGCGATTTGTTTCTAAACGACAAAACAGCTTAAACTATTTTGCCATGCTACAGACACCCTTGAGTAAAGTCCATAGTGAAGTCGTAGAGAGTATAGTTCAACAATGAAACTGACAACTGATTTGTCCCAATAAAACTTATTCACAGGAGAACAATACCTAATAAATAAATATTATTAGTTGGTCAATTCTAGAAATAAACTGAATAATATCTTGAAAAAACTCCTCATTGAAAACTTTGAATCAATCATAGAGCCAAGACTACATCGTGAAAATTGGTTTAATAATTTCGTATATGCATATAAATATTACTGTATATTAAAGTAAAGCTCGATGAAGATCTAATCGAAAACAATTTTGTTCGCTTATATATGTTGTTCTAAATTTTGAACTAATCATAGAGCCAAGTCTACATCGTGAAAATTCAAAGGGGAACAAGGAAACTGCTAAATCAATAATGCGAATAGAAAAAGAATATATTCAAATTCATCCAGACGAAAAGAAGATAAATTCAACAAAGTAAAAGAATTAATTTTTCGAACGACATGAGAGAAATTATTCATAAACTAAAAGAAAAATGCCGCAAAAAAAGAATGAAAAAAGCGATAGAAATACGGAATAAAAATATAAGAAAAATAATATTGATCAAAAAAAAAGATTTTGTGGAGATTTTATTAATTTAATAGTTGAATTCATGTATCGATTAAAGCTAGACAACCATTGAAAACCTGGAAGAAATGGACGATCTCGCGCGTGGACAGTTACCATCTAGATTACTGAACCGGCATCAAATAGTGTTAATGTATAACTTCGACAAATCAGCGAAATTGTGTCACCGTCTATAAATTAAGCTATTAAATTACTACAATCTCCACAAAACACCCTATCCGATAACAATAATAATCATGTGCTCACTAGTGAATATCTCCATAAGTTATTTCATGGAGTTCCAGTGAGAAGCCGTGATCAGTAGGTATTCAATGAGTCTGTTGGGAGACAGTTAATTACTGAATACAATGGTAAACGCTAGCACTTTATTCAAATAGTGAATTCAACTATTAAATCACAGCAATCTCCACAAAACATCCTTCATCATAACATTCGATATCTCAATTGAGAATTATCGTTTCGTCAGCCGATAATCAGGAAAGGCATTTCAATATATAGATTCCGTAGTTTATGGTCGCCAGAAATATAACTTCTGTATCACAATTTAAGGTATAACAACTTATTACAATCACATTTAATCTCCTCTCTGTCAATGAATTCATTGTATTTATCTATAAAATCAGAGAAAGCAACAATGATTACATTCAATTAATAAAGTAAATCCAACTGATATACCTGCTCAATATCAACCTAATTACAGAAGAATACAGCCAAACTGCAAACTGGACATTTTGGAAGAGTATAATGATGAGATCATCAAATTTTCAACAAACAAACACGTTTAGTATTAATCATAACATTGAGGATTTTTAAATCAGATTTCAGCACACTGAATGAAATGAGTAATTCAAACAAAAGAATGCCAATGAAAAACACACCTCTAAATACGAATCACTTTCATATTGAACAGTTCCATCCCAAAATAAATCAATCTTCCTAACAATGTTTTTCACTTTCCTTCTTCGAAAATTATTTCCCGTACTTATTTCTGTTTCATCGATATTCTACTTATTATAAATCAGTAGTCTCAGTCGTATTTATCAATTTGTATCATTTGGAAATCTTAATGAGTTACTTCTTCACCATAAACGAAAGTACGTTAAGATTTACTTCACTACTTTTAATTTTTACGAACAGATTTCTGTATATTTTCTAGGCTAGATCTCCCTCATGTTCTTCAATTTAAACTCGGTTTGATTTGAACCACCTGCCCATGTTCTTTTAATAGTAGATTATTTTCCATTAAGTAATTCATAAACACTTGACTCATCTTTTCATCACTTCTATAATTCTAGTCAGTCCTGTATTTCTAACCATAAATCCGTGTTTGTTATTAAAGTTTTCCCATGACAATAGTTCCAGCTATGTTTGCTTAATCTGAATAGTTCACACTTGAGTGTCTTCGTATTCCAACTACAATATATTTTTGGCAATAAATCTCCTCACATTCACATAAACCTATAACGGCAAGACGACATTTTCTAATGTTTCACTCACTCAATCACTCACCAGTTCAAAATCTCTTCAGCCTTATATCATTTACGATTGCTTATACATTAATTAACAATTACACTTTTCTCCTTTTCAGACTTTCTCGAATTGCCATGGGATGAAAAACTACTTAAGTATGTAAAATATTCTCTTGATAAGTTCATATTGAAATAATAAGTCAGTAGAACGCTTTTTGCAAATGAGAAATTATATTGAAGCAAATAAGATAGAAACTTTCTAAGTGGGAGATGAAATTGTCACATGGATATCTCAAACATTGAAGAATAGTGAGAAGATATTTTTGAACATCATATTCAGCTATATTAAACAAGAAATTTCGAGTTTGAATGATTCATGAAATGCTTAGAAGATGAGGCGGTAAAGGTACTAATCAATAAATCGAATGGACTGAAATAGGTAGTTGTGAAATTCGCAGATGACATGACAATCAGTTGGAAAGTTCGCTTAATGTTGATGAGAATTCCAATAAACTAACAGTTCCTGATTAATGTAGAAAGATATTTTTTTATTAATATGTAAAAGCAAAAAGTAAAAGAAATACCGAAAAATTTGGAAATCGCTGGAGAAGTGGAGAAAATATGTCATTTGTATCACACATTAGTCATAGGTATGTTGATGACGAACAGAGGGTGAGCAAACATATCAATAATCAAAGCTTTCACAAGTCATGTTTCTCACCATAGCTTTCGTTACATTAACGTGTATGTAGAGGAAATGCACGGAAAAAATTAGGTTATTTTAGTAAAATATAGAAAAGCATCATTTATATTTATGTCCAACCAGTTTTCAAATCCAACATTCGTTTTTCTATGTCATTTGATAAATCATTTCATGATGTCCATTTTCACTAAACACAGTTAAGTGGTTTACAATTCAGTAGCTATTCACCACAGTTTCATCACAACTTCAATCATGGATATGCGATATCACTTGTGCAGACTGGCACCATCCTACGAATATGAA